TGCGTAGTAGATCATAGCTTGGTAGCGAGTGAAAGCTAGGACCAAGCAAATCACTAGGCCAAGAAAGCCTGGAAGGTAAACCTTGAAACCCAATGAAAAATGTAAGCGATGGACGGGGCAGGTGAAAAGCTTGCTGTAAAATACCATGAATGTCAATGTAAGGTAATCTAAAAACATCTAAAGACGCTGGGGAGTGCACAGCTGCGTAGTAGATCATAGCTTGGTAGCGAGTGAAAGCTAGAACAATAGGCCAAGAATGTCTGGAAGGTAAGCGGTGAAACCCAAATGAAACATGTAAGCTATGGAAGGGGCAGGTGAAAAGCTTGCTGTAAAATACGGCTAGATGCAATGCACAAACCAGAAGCAGAGAGGAAAAGAAGCTCTGAGAATGTTTGGCATGTCATTTGCAGGCTGTTTGCATACTTCGACATACGTCAGCATGGAGATTTTACATTTTCCTATGACAAAGGAAAAATGTAAGCTTACATTTTTGAGGTCCAAAAAAGAAAATGTAAGCTTACATTTTTGAGGTCCGAAAACATAGGAAAATGTAAGTTACATTTTTGGACGTCCCCCCCTCTTAATTTGCGGTGATGGACAAATATAAAACATGAAATCCTCAATAAAATGTCAGAGGTCAGAAGGACCTGGTTCAAGCTCAGCGCCTATTGGAAAGCTTCTGGAGCCAGCAAAAAGTGGAAGCTAATCATTTTTGATGCCATAATCCGGAGTAAGCTTTTATATGGGTTGGAAACTATACATTTAACCCAGGCGCTAAGCAAATCACTAGATGCTTTCCAATTAAGAAGCTTGAGAAAGATTCTCAAAAGACCGCCTACTTTCATAGATCGGTCATGTACGAATCAAAAGATTCTTCAGGAAGCAACTGCCATTGCCTTCCCAACTCGGGGCGATAACAGACAAATTATACGTTTCAGCGATTACCATATGAACAGAAGATGTAAATTACTTGGGCATATAATTAGAAGCAGTAATGATGACCCCATGAGACAAGTATCATTCGTTGATAGCACTGCATCCAGAGTTGATTACGGCACCAAACGAGTTGGGAAACCGAGGCAAAACTGGCTGCATATCGCAAAGAAATTTGCGTACGAAAACGTTTTGAGACATCATAATTTCGATGAAAACACCGATGATGCAAGAATATATGCAGCCGCATTGAACAGAGATTTTTAATTACCGTTCTTTGGCTGTGCCAACGCCTTGCAATAAGCCCGTCCGGACCAGGTCGGCGCGAGGTATGGCTGGAAAACAACATTTCCCCACTTTATTTATTCTCTCTTAAAGGCGGAGGGTGGGACGAACAGCGTCAACCGAAAATGCAACCCTCTGCGGAGATCGTGCGTGTCGAGTGCGCGAAATCCAGGCGAGAGCGCGATTTGTCCGGTGCCCGCGCAACCCTCTGCGGAGATCGTGCGCGTCGAGTGCGCGAATCTGCGGAGATCGTGCGGGGATGTTCGGGACACGATGGCTGACGCAGGCTCTGGGGTAGCGCTGCTGAGCCACTGGCAAGGCACCTCTGCGCGCTGAGTGCCTCTGCGTACTGCTGGAAATTTTAGACACAGGGGCACGGCTGTACTGAATGGCTCTGGATCCACCAACGCGGGGGTTCGGGACACGATGGCTGACGCAGGCAATTGTTGGCGCAGTGTGATCCCTCACACGTCCTTGTGGCGCTCGAGAACCGCCTCCGTGATGTCTTTCTCGCAAGCAAGTGATGGGACTGCACTCTTCCAAGAACGAGGCTCCGCATGTGTGCTGAGCCAGCGCCAACAGTGTCATGTGAGTTCTCACACATCCTTGTGGTGCGGAAATAAGAGAGCGACGAGGTTAAGGGAACGAGTTTCTCAAATGGGCCAGAAGAGCCAACAGAACCCTGAAACAGGTCAAACAAGAACCCAAACAGGACACCAAAACGGGTCAAAAAAGAACCCTAAAACAGGTCAAAAAAGATCTTGAAAGCGGGTCAAAAAAGAACCCTAAAACACGGTCAAAAAGGAATTCTACGATAGGTCACGAAAGAACCCTAAAACGGGTCAAACAGGAAGCCACAAAGAATTCCAAAACGAGTCAAAAAAGAACCTGATAACAAATCCAAAGGGATTCTTAAAGCAGTTCAAAACAGAACACTGAAACGGGTAGAAAAAGAGCCCTCCACCAAACTGTCAGCATAGAGCCTAAAACAGGTTGAGCAAAAACAATGCCCCTATTACTATTGCTACTACTACTACTACTACTATTACCACTACTACTACTACTACTACCCCTACTCCTACTCCTACTCCTACTCCTACTCCTACTCCTACTCCTACTCCTCCTCCTGCTCCTACTCCTACTCCTACTCCTACTACTACTACTACTACAACCACGACGACGACGACGACTACTACTTTCCACCTAAGAATGCTACACAAGACAAATCCTCATTATTTTTGCCCGCGCGTCTCATACATCTCCACGCTTGTATGAGCGTCCATTCAGGCCTTCTTTTGGAAAACGCGATGTCCTCAGCGATCTTAGCGGGTACCTGGTATCAGTATTCTTGAAATTCTGGCAGTCAACAGTTGTTGCGTCGCACTTGGAATCGGAATAGTTTCGTTCGTCTCAATGTTGCAGTTCGTAAACGTGTGACTTTCAATGTCCCAATTGCAAAGTGGGCTCAGGAATTTCAAAGATCGATTCGTTAAATTGCATTTCAGATGTGGCCAGGGACTCAGTTACCAGCACACTGCCCATGTTTGCAGCCGACCAAGTTGGATCAATGTTCATACAAATAAAGTTTGTATATATGCAAACACATGTCATTTGGAGTCCAAGCAAAGCTTGGAAGCATTGGTTTCTTCCAGTGAAGGCAGAAGACTTCAGAGTGTGACGTGATGCAACTTGCTACAGGCACCTGTCCTGCTGGAGCGCAGCAATGAGCCGGACCCGTTTTGGGGTCGCGGTGGAATAGACATCTCGTGGCTGTTGATCTTGGTTTGGACACTTGCTCGCTTGTCGGCCTAGACACTTGTCAGCGAAGCAAGGCCAAGGCGTGACATGGTGTGACCTTCTTGTGAGGATGGTGGGATATGGCACCACCTCTTGGAAAACGAGCTAAAATACCTTGATCCAGGTCAGGAAGGGAGGGAATTCGGATCTGACCTTTTGAGAGTGCTGAAGTACTCAAGGGAAGGGAGTGGAGTTTCAGGGCATAGTTGCCAACGGGTGCAGTGTCGCACCCGACACATTTTTTGTGGTATTTGTCAAGTCAACACCAGATTGAATGAGTTTTGCAGAGGGTCACATATTTTTGTACGAGCATGTACCTACAAGGATTTAGGTCAAGACAGGCAACAAGCGTCGAAGATATTCAACCTTTTTCTGCAACAAAATATGTTTGCCGATCCCGAAGGTTCTTGTATGAGACTCTGGAGGCCAAAGTTCCTTTCCAAAAAGAGCTCGAATCCAATGATGGCAATAACTAGCACGATGAGATCTGTAGTCGGGAGGCCTGTGAATCTGCAGAGTCGGGGTCTTCCTCTTTCGATTTCCTGATCAAAACGAAGGTGAACAAAGTCTACCGTTTTAAAGCGTGTTTCCAACGGCAAAAGCTGAAGTCCATGCCATGCTTCAATTCAAACGTGTGAAGCTGGGCTGGGCCGGCTACTCCAAGCGCGTGCAGACATGGTATCGGTACAAATTCTCCGTGAACTGTCTGGTGAAGCTCACGAGAAGGTCTCTCAGCAGCAAATCATGCGAAGCCACTTTGTCTGACAGGCGAAGGGCTTTATCACAAGAGTGTTGGGCGAATCGTCGAGCATTGTTTGCATGTTACCCTGCCAGACTAATGGAACATGGAGCCTCTAGCTGTGCCAATTGAGCGTGAATAAAAGGGTTGACTTGTTGCAACGACAACACCGTTCTAGGCAGATGGCCAGGCGGGGAGTTTCGGTTCGTTGAGCAAATGACCGAAAGCATTTTCGGAGGGCGCCAGGACATCATGCGCATAGTATATGCTTAGTAAAAATGCTACTAGTAGCGATGCCAGGAGCCCCTAGTAGCGTCCTTGCTCCTAGTAGTAAGGCCAGGAGCCCCGTTCGTAGCTTCTTGTTACTGTGTACGTATTATTGTACAATGCAACTACCCCTTGCAACCAGACTTGGGATCCCCTCGCATCCTGAGTGTCGTTCTTTGGGAACACAAGGGTGTCAGTGAATACTGGTAGAGACAGTAGGCCCCTGCTTGCGAAAAGACAGCTGGCAAGTCATTGGCCCACCTGTTCTTTGTCAGGTGTTGTTTCGCCATGGCGATCCTGCAAAAGAGCTGATCGTGATCCTGGATGGTTCTGTTGATGCCCGGGCGCACAGTGTCAATGCCGGTAGGCCACTGCAAGGGACTTAATACCTATTGGATCCTGTTGGTTCATTTGTGATGTGTTGGATTGCGAGTTGGAGATGCGTAAGCGTGTCTTAGGATCCTTTTGAAGTGAATTGGTTGTTGTAAACGCGGCCTTGGCAAAGCAAGTTTTGACTTCCCTCTTCTCGTCCAGGTCACCCATCCTACCCGTGAAGTTTTTTCTCCGCGACGGCGCCCCACTGACCCTTGCCTGCAGTCCAAACGCAAAAGCTTTTGGAACTGATCGAGCAAGCTGTCATTTCCTCAAGATGTGTTGAAAAAAGATGGTTGAACATGGTTGAACTGGGTGTGGACTGATGCACTGACCAGCAAACAGTTTTGTGTTTTGCTTGGATGAGTGTTGACTCTGACATGAAGCATAATCGTCATCATCGTCATGATTCTTAAGGTGAAGGACTCTGACATAACAGAGGCAGGTGTCCAACACTGGTGGAGCGGGCTGTTGGGTTTGTCATTCCACTGCTTTCACTTGTACTTAGATTCTTTATTTCAAATTGCAGCATGAACTGCTCAACTGCACACTAGACTCGAGTGAGTTTTGTGGCGAGATGCGGGCTGGGCGCGTGTGGAATGATCTCCCATAGATAGACCTTCCAAAATTGCGCAGAACGGCGGCGTTTGAAGAGTTGGTTCTGCATGTTTCTACGTGCTTTCTACCACCACACTGCATGTTTCAGGTGCCTGAAACACGGGCTCGGCGCGCCAGAGTTGGAGCAGTTTTCGGTGTGCCTTGGCACGTTGGAGAAGTCAAAATCTAGTTTGACACCAGGATAGGGGAACACTCTGGCATGTGAGGCTAGCAGATGCATCATGATGATAGCACAGGCTTTTGGAACAGAGTCTGGGATCAGTCGTATTTGGAGTACATGAACATGCGCGTACATGTGAAATGTACTGTGAGGTAGGGAGTGGTACAGGACAACGATGGCTTACAGGCTTACACACTACTCAGATAATGTATGTAATAGACATACACATAAAAATATATATATGTATAAATGAACCTGCCCGAACAAGGTACCAGGTATTTGAAGCCGGTCTTTTCATCCAGCGCTCGGTTAAGTAGTTTCGTGTATGTGAGCACGATCGCCCAGGCTGTGGAGTATGCAAGCGGCTCCTTTGACCAAAGTCGAAATACCTATGTTGGAGCAACCTGCTTGCAGAATTGGCCGAGCCAATCTTGCTGCAAGTTCTTTCAGATTCTTTCTTGAGACTTTCGACTTGTGCCAAGACATTGAGTTCTGGAAAAGGCATGCTATATCATTTCTGTATATCCGTCAAATGAGCTTTACTATTTACTTGGTTTGGCCTGCTCTTTGAACCTTAAGAGACGGCCCAGGCCGGTCTTTCCTGCACTGGCAAGGCTGTTGGTGCCTTGGAGGTGCAGGGCAAATACGCCTATTCAGCTTTTTGTTACTAGTAGCTACTTGCTCCTAGTAGTACGGCCAGGAGCCCCTAGTAGCGTTCTTGCTCCTAGTAGTGATGCCAGGAGCCCCTAACCTCAAGACATCGTCTGTTCAGGATTCTCTGTCTGCGGAGGAGTCAAGCTTGTAACAGAGCACCAAAAGAGTGCATGGCCCAAAATCTGACAGTCGCTTTTTACTCGAAATACTGTGTGAGGCTGCTGTATTTGGGTTAGCTGCTCCCCTTACTGATGCATTGATTGCATGTCCGCAATAGTATGTTTCCCAAGACCCAGTTTCTGATGACTTTGACTTCAAGCAGGTGCTCATCATCGATTTTAACGCATTGTGGCAGGCAGAAGTGAAGGCCCGGCTGCACAAAAGTAAGTACCGCACAAGGCATGGACATCAATAGCTTTTCATAACAGCCTTTCGCCACTAGGTGTGTTGAAGCGTTTTGTTGAGGTCAATCTTGCTGCAATGCGATTCAACTGCTTAGAACAGGTTGCCTTGTAAGCCCGCAGTGTCCAGCTCACTGCAGGAGCCACAGCTGGCCCTTGTCCTCAGGACAGGCTTTGAGGAAGGATTGACGACTCCTCCATGATTTGCCCACTCTCTACCAATTCTTGCAAGCTTTTGCTCAGAAGAGAACTTGCCCGATCTGTAATCATCATTTTCAGCATTTGTCAGATCATTTTAGAGCAATTACAGACTCTAGGAACATAAGAGACTCAAGAGACTGCTCCATCTTAGCATGCATTCCATGTTCCAGTGAGGACATGGCTTTCACGCTTGGCTTCAGCGGCCCTAATGGCCTCCCTGCAACAAGCAGCTCAGCGGCGCTTGGATCAAGAGGAGTCTTTCCACAAGAGGTCGACAGGATTGCGACATCCCGGTGTGGGGCAGGTGCAGATTGGCTGTGTCATAGTGTTTCAAGTCCTTCGTGAGATTGAATGCACTGCATGGCATTCCATCTGACAGCTTGTGTTTGACCACTTTAGCGAGCTGACAACCTAATAGATTGGCAGATCTCAGGATCCTCTTAGTCATTTACACTGCAGAGAAATGCGGCCTGAACCTCAAGACAATTTAGTTCTAAGAGGACTTTCAAGATTTCCAGAGCTTTTCCATGTTTTTCTTGTGTTTGTGTTGCCTTTTTGTGGGCTTGCAGTGTCGATCACGCGAAGGTTTCGGCAACAAGCCCTGCGCTTTGCAGCTCCTTGACCTTCAGAGAAGCACTGGGCTGCTTGCGCGTCGATTTGTTTTGGGTTTGCTGAAACAGAGATTTTGTAGTTCGCAAGAATAGATTCCTGCCACAGATGAGTCTGACTCCCATGACGACAGAGCTGAGGTTGTGTAGATTTTGTGAAGTTCTCAGCTGTTCATATATCTGTAAAAATGAAGAGAGGGTGTCTGATTCCATGACGACAAGAAAGTTATTGCTTGTTACCAGGAAGTCTGTGTCCATCAGACCCCCTCTTAGTTGAACTTTGCGAATCTTGCTTAAACCTGAGCTCGGCAGACGCCTAAAAGGAGAGCGAGGAGGGACCATTGGACTAGCTGACTAGCTAGGACTTGGATCTGAAGCATTACAAGAATACATTAGTTCATTTTAGTTCAATGGGACGCAGATAGTTTGGTTCCTCTCTCCCGGTTGAAACGACATGAAGCGCCGACAGATTCTTTGCTTTACCGGATGCGTGTTGGTTTATTTCTTTGCCTTGGGGCAACAGAGAAAAGGATTAAACTACACTATATTGGAGTTTTGACAGGTCAAGCACTCACACTCACCCCGACTCACAGCGACAATTTAAAACATATATATATATATACATATATATACCTTTCTTCTTAGTGCCCAAGGACAGCAAAGATGCAAAGCTAGGCCAGATAGGCTTAGATAAGTCAAGTCTTCGTGAACATCCTTTGGACATTTTTGGCTCAGATGTGCCAAATATGTTTCACCATAGTCACAAGGGAGAGGCACGAGCGTGCAGGTAGCGTACATGGATATTCCCCCACATATGATGCCAGGGTCGAGCGGTCGAGCACCCTTTTTTGTAACCAGATCGACGCAAAGAAAACATCACGTCTATCACTGAACGTTCGAAACCATATTTGGCATTGTTTTTGTTTTTTGTGAATATGGGCAGCAAATAGCCTTGCCAACCGATATGCAATGGCAACAGCTGTTGTGGTTGGCGAAAAGTCCTCCTGACATGTGGTTGTCTCATGGATGTTTGTCCTCCTATCGTCAGCATGCGGATGTAGGGTTTGCAGCAAGGAAGCAGGACAAGAGCAATGAATATGGACAGATGAATGGTTCGGTTCACATGGACACTCTCTTGTGCCAGGCCCCCCGATGCCGAGGCTTCCGCTCAAGGCGATAGCCACGGCACAAAGAGAGGGCGGCAGGCCTCCAAGAAGAAGGCCAGCGGCAAAAAGGAAGAGCAGCTAGGATCGGAAAGAAAAGGGACAGGCTGACACCATCCAGAGATATCCAGAGCCTTTGGAAAAGATGTTTTTGCCTATGATGAGGAAATCCAGCCATGGGCAACTTGTTTGTGGCAAGCTACTTGACAGTTGTCGTTGGTCTTTTCTTGGTACCTCGAAGTGTGTTATGAACATGGAGGATTTCCTCAAGGAACATCAAATGGTACCGATATGGTACCGTGTACCTTTGAACCGAGGTCGTGGATACTTGAGACACACAACATTGTGTGACGGCATATATCTCTCAACACATACTGTATCTCTTTCAGAGTACTGAATACTCCAAGATATTCAACACACCCTTTGACAATGTGCATCAGACATATTGCAGGTAGCCAAGAAAGCACTGGTGCTCCCAACGCCAATGCCACCAATTGGTCAGAAAGCCTTCATTTGCGAAGGTGTGATGATTCACTGCTGATTGCAAAGAGCTCTGGAATACACAGTAAGTATTATATATATACACATTATGCATATACCTCTACAGAGAAAGCTTGAGTTTCTTGCACTTTGACTTGACAGTGTACCTTGAACCATGTTGACCTCCCGTGCTTTGCATGCTTTTCCTGCGACTTCCTTGGCAGAGCTAGAACCAGGGACTTCCTGTGATCTAGTTCGGCGAGTGCTCACACACTGGGGCTGGACGGAGATTCTCTGCCCAACAAACGATCGACAGGAGAACAAGCTAGTTTTTTAAGTTCCAAAGAACTAAATGGACTTCAAAACATCAGAGAAACACTCAAAATGAACAAACATATACCTTTCTTTCGTGTTTATGATTTGTGTGCTTTCCCAGCTCCAGCAGTCCAGATACCTAGGAATCAAAAGCTTGAAGTAAACTGGTAAGCATCTCGAATCGGTTTGCCCGGCGATCCAAGGAGCCCCGTGGAGAGGCCATCGGCTTGTCAGTTGAAATGGAGCCTCAGATGCCAAAGGCACGAATCAGAGTAGATGAGCTGGTGGATACTGCTGTCATTTTCATCATGGTCACATAAGTTTGAGAACTGTACAGCAAATCTTTGCTTTGGACCCCTCCTTCCCTCCCTCCTGTATCGTGTACTCATCATGGCTACATGTATGCCATCACTACCCTTGGGACCTTGGGATAGATCAAATCTGCTTTCACCGGTCGAAGTGGAGCTGCTCTGGGCCGAGCTGCAGCTCTGTTTGAGGACTTTTCGATCTCGAGATGCGGAGAAGTCTGTGCTAGAACCCTGGCAGCTGATCAATCACTTCCATGGCTCCTACTATTTGAGCCTCTTGGCATTGGCATTGTTGGCAGAAGGTAAGTCTTGAAGGAGACTGGAGGGTGGCTTCCCGCTTCTTGGCCACTCGTAGTTCCAGCTTCTTGGTCACAGAAAGTCAAAAACCGGTAAATCCAGATAGGTTTTTGTTGGTTGAGGCTTTGTTCTGCTGTTAGCAGACCAGTAAAACTCCATCATGAATCATGCTTCCAAATACAAGGGTCCAAGGTGTTCTTACAGGCATCGCGGCATCGCCGGACTTGGGCTGTTCCAAAACGCAGAAGTGTTTGACGTCACATCACCGCTGGAAGCCAAAAAAGCTCCCAGGCAACAAGGCCTTCCTGGGGCAATGCCTCCAGAGTTGCTCCTGCTGCTCCTCTTTCTTTCCACGGCAGGCCAAGAGGGGGCAAAAACCAAACTCGTAGCAGAGTCGTAGCATCAATCTGAGAGTGATTCTGGTTTGCTGGTCTATGCTTGCCGATTGTTACACATGCCTTTTCCCGATCTGAGTACGACCTGCGGGACGCCTTCGGCATGCGCTGCTTTCTCCGGGATTATGCTACTTGACGGCAACACACGTGAGGATCTTCTGAGCAGATTTTGACAGCTTTACAGTCTTGTGGCGATTAAAATGATTTGCATGGGCTGGCTGCTCCCCATCACGACCGGAATTTTCAGCACTTGTAGGGCGTGCAGCCTACACTTTGTACATACAAAGGAGCTCACATAATTCCAATCCAAACGCCTGGTTCGCGCGCACCCAAGAAATGGTCGAATATAGCCCGAACCAGTCGAACAGGACAGTGAAGCCAGAGAACGTAGTGTCTCATTAGCACTGCAAGCACCACTCAGCACTTCTGTAATTAAACTAGCTGACTTTGTAATTATATATTTGCAATAGCTTGCTGGCTCCCAGCCAATTCATCCAACAAGCGCTTGATTGTAAAGCTTTCTTCCCAAAGCTGCAGACACCAGCATGGAAAGAATCAAGGCCCTCCCAAGCAACATCCATCACAATACATTTCAGTTCACACCAAAGGTGGACTCGTGACCCGGCTTAGCTTGCAATGTTGGAAACGGACGCTTCAATCTAATCCGATTCGGCTCTTTTTGCTGCGATGCTGCATTGGTGGAGGTTTTCCGTGCTCACCTTGTTGTTCCAAGGTCTTAACCGCGGCTGAGCAAGTCCTGCGCAGTCCTGCAGCTAAGATCCCAACCTCAGGCGCTTGGTCATTGCCCAAGGAGAGTTTTAGAACCAAGAGTTCAAAGCTCAAAGCTCAAAGCTCCACCTGCTGGGATGTAAATGGAAGAAGGCTCCGTAGACATCGCAAATTCTTGGGTTCTCCAAACACTAGGCTCAATTGACTTGACAGCAGCTGATCTCTTTAGTTTTGATGACTTTCACTGCAATCAAGTCTTCAGTGACTTTCAGTTCCTTTTGACAAATCAAGTCCTTGCCTGGCAGGTGGCATCAGCCCTAGGGAAGTTGCCCTACGGGTACTTCGGAGGTACAAGGCAAAGCAAAGAGCGTAATCTTTGAGCCGCTTTGAATGTGTGGAACCAATTCGAGAAAACCAATGCTACATCTGACTCCAAGAATGCGTTGAACACAAATACTGTTGGGTAGCAACTGTGTTTGCTTTCTCCCCACTTCAAGTCCGAGTGAAACGGTTTGTACAACTATTCAATCAAGGTTTATAGGCTCTAACCTGAAGTGTCTGGCTCTAACGGAGTCTCCCAGCAAGTCCGACCTCACCAGGAATGGTCGAAAGGCCATGCCGACCATCCCGAACGACTCTTGCGGTGTCCGCATGAGATTGCCGCCCTGCTTGGGCATGGGTGCCTTAGTTTCGCATTGGGCGTGACAGGGAGGGTTTCTTGGGTAGCTGCGTAGCTCCTGGTATCGCTTTTTGTAACAAGTGCATTACTACTTGTAACAAGGGCTTTGCTTCTAGCAACTGTTTCGCGCTGCTTCGCGACTCTGAAACTCAGGTGCTTGCTGCCTCGCAAAATCAGTGTCTTGACAGCTACTGGAGTGGACCGCATAGTGTATAGATGTGTATAGTATACACCAGCTTGAACATGACCAAGTCAACCAGATCCGCACTGGTGCTTATTTGCATCGTATGTTGCAATGAAAAGGCATACTCTTGTATCTCTTGTTGACTGAGTTGACTGCTTGTAAACTGGTTTGCAGGGCTTTCAAGCTTAATGACTTGCAAATAGCGACTGGCAGCGGCAGCAGCGACTGTACACCGGTCGCAAAACTCCATTGTTCGCTGTATCATCGAGGCGTGCATCAACGGATACACGTGGATGTGTTCCTTGTTTGCAAATTGCTCAGCGCCACACCCCTTTGGCGTCGTGATTCGCAACAGCAGGCCGCAGCATCAGCAGGCGGTACGTGAGTGTATTTGGAAGAGAACTGGTCAAGTTTCACCAAATGGCAAGTTTCACCATAAATGGCGAAATCAGATTTGCCAGAGCTAGCTCCAATACAAAGGACCTCGGAACAGATGCCAATCAGTAAAGTAATATCCTTATGCAGCAGCTGGCTCTTTGCAACCAGAGCTCTCAATCTAGACAATGACAAGTTCGGGAGCCTTGACCTTGGTTTCGGGTCCAAGCAGGTACTTTCTGATTTCTGTTCATATCTGTCCATGCATGCTATGGCTAGACTTTAGTGCTTTGGTGTCAGTATTGTTTGGATTGCGGAATATTTTGGATCCGTTCAGTGTCGACCGACTGAGGTTCTTAAGCCGCTCTATGCGGTCTGAGTGTCCAGTTTGCCAAGAGGATCCAAAGCCTCAGAGCTTCTTGGCAGAGCAAAGCAGGAGCAAAGCGGGATTGAAGGCCATTGAGGGCCTTTGAGTATTGAGTGGATACGCCGAATTGTCATCACATCCGATTCACAGGATACGATTAGCGCAACCCAGGTCCTGTTGTTTTGGCCCTCAAAATGTAAAGCCCTATCTTAGAGCAATTAGTGACTCTTTTGCTTAGCTTGCAATTATTTTGTACATTCACTCACTCATTCATTCACTCATTCATTCATTCGTTCGTTCGTTCGTTCATTTATTCATTAAGGACCGACACGCTACTATCATCCAATGATCCCCCTATAGTTCCAAGCTTGTACATGGGCATTCAAATCCGCATGACTCGTGTAATGGCCAATATACCCCTTGATAACAAAGCAAATTTACAAACATAGAGGATTACGATGATTATGTATATGCATTGTATGTTTTGGTATTTGGCTATATATTTTTGTTGGGGTTTCTAGGGGATATTTTCTTCTAGTGCTGGGGTCTGGACGACAAAGAATCGACCCTATCCATACCATTCTGCTAAAGTTCAGTCACAGCCTCGACATAGCTTGAGCTATGCCAACAAGGACGCGCATTTCAAACAATCTGTAGCTCATAGCGCCTGCAAAGCGTGTCCTTATAAACTTATAAACACGTTGTTGCTGATGCGCCGATACAGTCCGATACATCATCACCATCACCATCACCATCACCACCACCATCACCACCATAACCACCGCCAGCGTCACCACCATCATCACCGCCATCATCACCTATTGTTTGGAGCCCATTACGTCTAGAGTCTATATAGATCTCTAGACCTTCTGCTTCTACACCTCCAGACCTTAAACCTTTAGACACACTGTTTGGGGTCTCTTGCCATAATATTTATTGGGCGCACTACACGTGAGGGTGAGAGCTAAATTTGCTGTGGACGGGGCGAGACGATTGCCCGAGAAACTGCAGAAGTCATACGAGACATGCTTGGGTTGACTATTAAGAACAGGTGGCCTCAGTTATACACCAGGAAGATTGTCGAAATCTACCAAAGAAGTGGCTTGAGCAAGTGAGGCGCATCACGAACCCCTTCTTTAGTTTTGCTGCAGATGGTGATGAATTGAAGCGACCACCAAATTGACAATATCATGCGTACATGGCTGAGTCTTGTATGCGCGGCCGAGAGAATCTGTGCGTAAGATTCGATGGGTTTGTGATGATTATTTTGTTGCGCGGTCGGAAGGTTGGTCGACAGGGGTTAGCCACTTGTGAACTTGTGGAGGTGCGCCCGTTAGAGCGAGGAGATCCGATGACTGCTCCCGTTAGCATCCCCCAAATGTGCACACTGTGTGGGCTTTGGAGCGGTTGCTGGTGCCGCTGGACTGCGCCGCTATTCGTGCCAGATTCAGATGTCCATGGCAGTATGCATGTCTATGGCAGTGCGCAACGGCCGAATCTGCTTGCGATGCGCGCTTTGGAACTTCTGGCGCCATTGCAGGGTGCCGCTGCGGGGTGCCGTTGCAGGGTGTTGCTTGGCAGTGTGCGCATTTGGGCGTGTGTTGGTGCTGGTGCAGGTTGCCGCTGAAAGGCCACGGCATTATGTAGTGGCCGTGTGCGCTGTGGAACTTGGGTGCTGGTGCTGGTGCAAGGTGCTGCGGGGTTGCTACCTGATGTCTCTGGCAGTTTGAGTGTTGGAGCCTGCGTGTTGGTGTCGCTTCAGGCCGCTGCAGGGTGCTGCATCTCAGATGTTTATGACAGTGTGCGATCAAATTGGAGTGTGGGTGCTGGTGTCATGCTGCCCACAAATATCTTTTGCATCCTTTTGCTATTTGGGGTCTATGCTGGCGCAATTCCATCTGCTTCCCACGTTTGTGTGGAAGGACTCCCTTCTCTTGTTCAGATTGGGCTGTGGACGATCCACACACTCTGACATTGGTTTTCAGTTAACTCAATTTCCAGGAAAAATG